CAGTACTGTTTTTCTAGTACATTATTATAAAATATTAAAATATGCTCTATCATTATTATATCTCCCCAATTTGTGATCTAGGTTTAGGAAAGCATCTCTCATAAGATTCCTCTCATCAGCCTGTGGCATACTCCCATAATGACATCATTTTTGTTTCTTCTTTCTTTTCTATACTCAAACAAAAGGATACCCATCCTACCTATGTGATATATTTATTTCAATATAGATGAATACTTTCTTAATGTTTAGTGATTTTCCTCTTTTCCTTCTTTGGGTTTTCCTTTCTTCCATACTTTCTAGTTGTGATTACAACACATAGTATGCCAAGTTCAGCGGTATTATTGAGATTTCACACACACACACACACACACACACACACACGAAGTCCAACGTTATTATATTCTCTATATATTTTCTACTCATGGCCAAATAAAAGTTTTGTTGAACCTGAGGTTTTTATAATTTTCAGAGCCCAATTCAAAAAAGGAATAAAAATTGTCAATACCAAATTAATGGGTCACTCCCAGGACTTTGGAAGTGCAGACGAGGTGTTTTAAAGCAAACTTCATTGGGTGATGGCAAATGTGTTCCTGTGTGTGATTGTGCTGGGTGAGGGAGGATGACTGGACTGCATGCAGTTGCTGGGCTGGGAATTCCAGGTCTAGGATGGTAGGGCTTCCAAAGAGGAAAGACAGAAAAAAAAGGAAGTCCATTGACCAACTTCAGAAACTTATCTGACTTCACTTTTAATTTCCCTGTTTTAGTTCTCTTTATCAAAAAAATGCCTTTTTTTAGAGTAACATTCCAGTTTTCAATAGCAATGATACCCGTGTTCAGTTAAGATCAGGTTTCTAGGGCCCCATTTTAGAAACAAGCATAGCTCAAATGCTGAGCTTAAGAGCATTCCATGACAAGGGACAGAAGCTTTGCAAACTATGGTCAGAAGGCCTAATGCATGACCTTTAGCCTGAGAAACATCAGGTGGCTTGTTGCATTGTCCCCAGAGGAGTGGAACATTGGAAATTGCAAAAGGAGTAGTGGTAAGAGTGTTGGAGAGTGTGGTAGAAAACCTGTAGTTGCAAAGGTGTCTCCATGGAAAAGAAAGAAAAATCTCAAGAAGTGTCTTTAGCTGGTCATTTTCAGAGTTTCCACTGTCAAGGAGGGCTCTTTCAGACAGACTGGGGAGATATTCAGCCCTCATTGCTAGTAATCATAAATGTGTGACAGTAAATGACACACCTTTCTGTATACTTAAAAGCTTAATGAAACATTTTATGAGATTCATTTTTTAAAGTATCTATTAAGATATGTGTTGTCAATCAAAACATTTTAAAGAAACATTTTTAAGCAAAAACATTTTTAAAAAAACTTAGAATCTTTTGAATATATATTTTTTATGACAGACAGATGCTCTTGCAGTATAATTTTTCCAGATTACGGTGATTAGCTATTTAGATGAATAAAATAAATGTGCAGTTATTTGTATACGAAGATGAAAGTATTGATTTTGGAGTTGTTTTTCCAAAAAGGCATCTTTGGTTGGCCAGAAAGGGGTTGTTATCAAAGACCAGAGTAGACAGATGCACACTGACCCTCTAGGGGATCAAACCCATGCCCTTGGCACCATGTCTCAGTACTCCTACCAACTGAGCTAACTGGCTGTAACCTTGCCATTTAGCATCTCAGGTCTGCTAAGCACCATTGCTCACAAACACAGTCTCCTTCAAGCCTTCACTGAATAAGGTTTGTTCTCAGCCAGAAAAACTCCCCTGAAGGAATAGGAATAGATTTTAATATTTTTAAAGCATTGAAAATTGCTGTTTTTCCCCCTTCTGGAAATTTCTTAAGCTTGAAATCCATGATTTTTCTCTATGAGGTGATCTACTTGGTAATCTCTGCTTAGGCAGATCACTTGCTACTGTTGAGCTATGACTGGGTTCCATTTCTTTTTATAAAGTCCTTGTTATTTCTGTTAGGAGAGCCTGAAAGCTGCAAGGGAGAAAGAGGAACTGGATAGCTCAGGGGCCTAGCTAATGTCATCCGATCTCTCCTACCCTGAGGCTTTTTTGAATTTGGCTCCTCTTCACACAGTCTCAAAATATGCAGCAGCCCTTCAACAGTCATGGACCTACCAAGCAAGGGAGGGAGGGACCCACCAATCAAGGTACTAAGGAACAAGTGGGCTCTGGAGTCAGACTCCCTGAGCTGGAAGCCAGGCTCCTCCAATTACTAGCTGTGAGGCTGTGGGCAAGTTACTTCTACTCTCTGAGCTTCCATTTTCTTGTTTCTGAGATGGAGATAATAATTAAAAACTTGGAAGAATTGTTGACACAAATTAAATGAGATAATATATTAAAAAAACATTCAGTCCAGAATATAGCAAGGATTAAAAAAAAAAAAAAAGCAACCAACAATCAAAAGTTACTAAGCACCCAGGCCCTTAAGATAACAAAATGAGTTGGAGAGGAAAGGAATAAATATGGGACATATAAGTGCTGGCAGAGAAACTATTTCTGAATAAAACACAATCTGACAAGTTCCTAGACCCTGGATGGACTGGGGTTATTTTTATGCAGTTTGAGGTCAGGAAAGAAAGAGAGGAAAAAAGAACACTCTGGAAAGGGGGAGGGGAAGCGATGGCTGTGGGTGAGGGGGAAAGAAGTCCTAAAGTTGGAAAACAAATACCCTGTTTCAAGATTTTGCTCAACGCTGGGCCTCATGTTTGGGGGCCATCTATTTGTCTTCTGTTCTACTAGCCAGGGTGACCTTCCCCAAGCCGGCCACAAAAATCCCCATAACGCCAGCTTACAAGGCAAAGTTTCCATGCTGTTTCATGCCCCCTTTTCCTTGAAAATAATAATAAGTTTAACAAAATGTATAGCTTCTCTGTCAAATTCTGGTCAAACACCTAGCTGCCCCTCCCCCACGAAGGGGGTCCCACCCGGTGATGTGGCTAATCCCCATGGAGTCAGGAAGCCGCTAGCCTCCCACGGAGACTTGCAACTAGAGAGCCCAACGATCTAGCCTGGATTCTTTTGCCTGGTCTGGACTTGTCCCCTTAGACAGGCTAAAACAGTCTTTGCCATGGGGGGCCACCGGGCATTTCCCCACACCCTACCGTCAGCAAATCGCATTGTCAAAAAAAAAAAAAAGTCTGCTTATAAACGTTTCCTCCCTATAGCAAAGAATTCCTTTAAATGTTGTATTTGGTGACCTCGTGCCTTCATTTCTAAAAACTGAATATGAATATAAAAGTGTACCTTTCGATTAACTAGCTCACCTGCCCACCTCTAGTTTTGAAATGTTATTTTCAGAATCATATTTAGCAAAACCCAGAAGAGTTTTACTGACCATCCAGGAATTCTCAAGCTGTGTTATAAAGGGGCAAGATTTTGTGCAATGGAGTTGTGAAGATTTGAATTCTTGGAAAATGTCATTTCTTTATGGCTTTCATCATATTTGAATTTCACAAAAATTTAATCCAGAACACCGGAGTTTGCTTTAGGGGCCAGGAGGTGTTTGGCTTTCTCCGCACCCGTTAACAGAGAATTTTCTTTATTTAACGAGACCGGGTTTCTCGGGCTGTGACCATTGCAAGTCACTGAGGCTCGAAGGTTAAGGAATGTAAAGAGGTCAATCTCCGGCATTCAAACACACGAAATGACAAATTCCACCAATACATAAAGAGAATAATTACAAAAGTTTGAGGCGTGGGTCAGAAATGATAAGCTCGATGTCGGTGGGAAGAGTTACTCGTGTAAATCTTCCTAGAGGAGGCAGAAATGTCTTAATGGTAAAAGAAACAGGAAACAAACCCCCACTACGTCGCGTTCCGACCCGGGAGTGCGGGTGCACTGAACGCAGTCGGTTCGCTGCAGGGAAAGTGAGTAGCTTCAGGATATTTTCTAAAGTGCTCCTTGCAGTGCACGGTCTTAGAAAGAGACTAGTTTTATGCACCGACTCATTTTCCCATAAACTCTTGAAGAGGTGCTTTATTTCTCAAGGATAAATTGCCGTTTATCAGATTCTTTTAAACACTGTGTCAGGACCCCCGTGTCTCCCACCCCCGGTGCTTTGCGAGCAAACGAAGGCGAACAGCCTGGGCGTCCAGAAACGTTTTGCAACGAAAGAGCGAATGAATGAACCCCTGCCCGCGCGCTAGAGACTGGGGAGGACGCAGGAACTTTCCCGCTGCCACGCGAACGCGGCAATCTGCAAAGTTAGGATCCGGGGTAGCCGGGGCTTGGGAGACTCGGTCAGCCTCTCTTAACCCCTAGCACCTGTTCACAGGTGCGGTTCCGACTGCGCGGCCGGGGCCCGGTACCCGTCGGCCCGGAGCCAGAGCAGATGCGGCTCACCTCGAGGGGACTTCACAGCGACCCTGTCCACGCTGCGCTGCCCTCGGCTGCCTAGTGGCTTCGAAGGCCCAGCTGCGGTGGCCCCGCGGCGCACTGGGTCCTCGCTCCCCACCCACACCGGAGCTCGCCTAGATCTGATCCCTCACCCGGCGGCCAGTCTTTTCCTCATTTAACTCGATGGGGCTTTGCGATAAACCGAGCCATAAAATCGGAGGCGCGGAAAGAGAAAATAGACAAGTCGAAAAGTCACAAGTGTCTCGTGGGGAGATGAGGGCGCGGGCTGTTTGGACTGTGGCACAGCGGTGGGGCCCAGATTGGGAGCGGCGCGGAGCGGGACCGGTTTTCCGGGGCTGGCAGCTGCCTGGAAAAAGTTTCCTGCGGAACAGTCGCCAGCGGGGGCGGGGGCGGGGCGGGGGCGGCGGGCGCTGCAGTGGCCGTGGGAGGGGGTGGGAGCGCGGAGGCCGCCGAGGCCGACTCGCAGACCGTTACAGACCCGGGCACCTCCCTCGGCCGCCGGGCCCCCTAGCCCGCCTCCCGCCGCGCGGCTGCCCACCTGGCGACGTGACGCTGCACCAATCGCCTTCGAGCGGCTGCCGAGGGGGGGCTCTTTGCACCGCCCCCCTCCCCACCCTGAAAGAGGCGCACCCCGCGGGGGCAGACTGTGCGCGCTCGCCTGCGGAGCACCCCTCTGGCTTTTCGGTCTCACGGACGGACGGACGGACGGACGCTCAGGCTCTGCTCTCGCCTTCGCTCAACTCGCTTTCCCGCTTCTCCGGCTCAGGCTTCCCTCCACTCCCAGCTCTTTCCCCCTCCACTTTCCCCTCCTCTACCTCCCTCGCCACAAACCCCGGCCCCCCCATCCTTTCCCCCAGCCCTCGCCCGTCTCCTGTCCCCACTTCCACGTCTGGCCCGTTGGCAGCTCAGACTTCCCGAGCGTGCCTGACTCAGTCGCCCGCACCGGTGAAGCTCGAAGCCATGGCGGGACCTGGGGGTTGGAGGGACAAGGAGGTCACGGATTTGGGCCACTTGCCGGTGAGTAGAGGACTCCCGCCCCCCCTCACCCCCTAAGTGCCCTCTTCTTCAGGTTCCGAGCACCCGGGGACGCGACCGGAAGCCGGCCGGCCGCGCTAGGCCAGAACTTCGACGGGACGGCGGGTGCGGGAGGAGACCGCGGCACCGGGGAGCGGGCTGGCGGAACTAGGCGCGCCCCTGGCACCCGGGCCGCGCCCAACTCGCGGAAAAGCGACGGGACGTCGGGGGTGAGGCGCGGGGGCAAGCGGTGGTGGGGGGCCGTGGGACCTTAAGCTGCGGGAAGTTTTCTAAATGTCGCCCGTTTCGTGTAGCGGCGGCGCTCGGGTACCTGTTGGAGCGGGGCGCCAGGAGAGGCCAGAGAGCGCGACCGCGGTGCTTTCCCGAGAGCGCTCCTCCCTGTCACCCCGCCGCCCCGTCGTTCGCCTCCTTTGCCAGCGGAGGTGACCACTCGCGCAGTGACCTTCTAGGCGACAGCAGCCTAGAAAATCAAAGTGTTGGAGTCTAATTTCTCTCACTTTCTAATAGTACTTCCTAAAACCTTCTTATTCTGCCAGGGCACTGTTCCTGATTTAGTATTGCGGGAGCGAAAGAACTCGACGCCGCTTGGGGAAGAAGTGAATTCTGCACACCCCATTAAAAAAAAAAAAAAAGTATTGCTAGCACTAGCTAACCAGATTTAGCTTTTTCTCGTGGTTTTCGTTTGTGGATTCCCCTTTTTCCGAATGCCCAACTCTCCTCCATTTATAATTGATTGGTGAGCTATTATCGCTGTCATTATTAGTAGACTTTATTATTTTAGCAGCGCTGTTTATTTCATTGGCATCTGGTTTCTGGCTGATATTGGATCCCACCCAAATCCGTTTTTCAAGTTCCCTTTTTAGATTGGCATTTCACTCGCACCCTCTTTTGAATGCAAAGGGCCCTGGACTCTGAAAGGCAATAAGCCTGCACCGTGCTGGAATGATCGCCAGGCAACTGTAATTCAGAGCAGTGGCCTGCTTGCTTGGCGAAAAGCTAAATATTAACCTTGAGGTTATAGGACTATTCAAAGTCGCAGTGCCTTAATTTTATACATATTTGGCACTTAAAAGACTGTCCTCTTGCTGATGGCACATGTCTGTCCCCTTCAAAAATGAGACATTGCCCATGCCTCACCTATATAGTTTCCACTGGAATGGTGTGGAGGAGGAAGTGATATATGTGGGTAAAATTTGAGCAAATTGTTCTTAGACTTTTAAAAAAAGGAACCTCAAGACAAACAAACGGAATTACCAGTATTAGCATAGTGGTTATTGATGCATCTTCATAAAACAAAATCACAGGATATTTTAAAATTAAAATATTTTTCCACCCTGCATACACCCACTGCCTACATGAAATTTCTGGAACATGGAGGCCTCAATTGGTGGTTTCCTTTCTGAACAGAACTTTCATATTCTGACTAGATTTGCTCCCAAATAAAAGTGTAAAACCAGCGAATGAAATGTTACCCTCCTCTAACCTTTTCTGTGCATATTGGGGAAAGAGGAAAAAAGCAAACTAGGGCAAATACTTGAAACCACACATGGGCAAGCTGAAATAAACTATTTTCTAAAATTGACTAAGGAGAGGCATGGGAAAGACCTCATAGAAATGATAGGGCCGGGATTTGCAAACCCAAGGAGAGAAAGAAAAGGTTTTATTGCCACAAAAAATGGGGGGAAATGGCTCAGACTAAGTGACCCGGTCATGGCCCTGGGACATAAGAAGTTGGTGAGAGCCTAGGAGATAAGGGGAAAGGCTGCAATCTTTATAAAGCAGTTCAGCGGACTATTAGTTTTCTGAGGGTTGATGGGGGTGTGCAAGGGAGAAAAATGAGGTTGTTTTTTTAATGTGGGAACAGTAGGGAGAAGACAAAACCTCAGGGCACTGATGCTTGGCTACATTTTGCAGACTTCATGAAAACCTTATGAAGTCCTCAATTTCTAACAATTTCTAAATCACTCTCATAGAGGAGCCGTTTTGTCTCATTTGTGGAGGTCTTCGCCATCCCAGCAAATTATGCATAATTCTTTCTAAACATCCAGTCTAAACCCTCAGAAATCTAGCAGAGCAGTAGCGCTCTCTTTAAAAATTCTCTTACGCCAAATTCTTAGAAATGTGAAAAATTCACAGTTACTTTTTGGGCACAGAGGTGTATTTTAGTAATTTGGGATTTTGTTGCATTTGACTTATTTTCTGAGCCTCTGAGGAAGTAAAAGTAAATGAGGTCAAGAGAGACATCTAGGGTAGCTGCAATTTTGCATTTTGATGCAAACTACAGATAATACAGTGAGCAAAGAAGTCTGCAAATTGTGGGATCCCTTGCAATAATTATCCTCAATTGAATGTGAATATATATATATATATATATATATATATCTGTGTAAACATAGATATATATGAAGATTAGAAAGTTGGCATCTGTCATCATCAGGTATGCCAGTTTGGCAACAGCCAGAGAATGAGGGGAGATTCAGACCTTGGAGTTTCGCAATAAGTAAAAAAAGAGCCTTGCAGAGTACAGAATTATTAAATAAGGTCTAGTTTAAGATTGATACTTCATGTCCTTTGTATGGCTGGCCAGCTAAATGACCATAAGCCAAGGCTTCCTTTGCAAATTGGGATTTAAAGAAAATTGTGGAAGGTTATTTGATATTTTTTCTTATCAGATGGATAGTGTTTTTAAACCTAAAATAGTAAACAAGAGTGAATACTAGGGAGGCAGGAGAGAGGGGGAAATTACATAACATTTTTTTGGTATAATATCCTATAGCTAGAGGCAGAAAATAAGCGAGCCAATATAATAACCAGACAATGACGAGTCAGCTACATTTTGTTTGTTGTTTAATGGATTGCTCTCATTTTTTTCTGATTGACTATTAACTAAATATTTCTTACAGGTTGCAAAACAAAAAACAAAGTATTTTATGCTTCCTTTTGAAAAGAAAATTGTAAAGCCTTATATCTTTGTATCTATCTGTATATATCTATATATTTCACCTTGTCTGCAGCAATCCAGCTGTGTGTTTGTGTGTGTGTGTATTTTAAATAGTATCCCTATGTCACTCAATCCTTGAGAGTGGAAACTATTTCTTCATCTTCATATCTGGCATGTCTTTCACTATGATTGTCCCCTTTGCCTTCTGTGCCCAGTATGGTATGACATTCCTTCAGTATTTGATACTGCCATGTGTAGTCCTAATCTATATTGGGGTCAGGATTAGACAGGCCTGCAGGACAGTAGTGGCACAGATGATCTGAAATAGCACATGATCCAAAAACTATATTTGAATTGCATTAGGTTTATATTTAAATATAACCACCAGCTCTCACAGGCTTCCACCACCCGGACCAAGCCTGCTTTCCACACTTAGTTATGAGACCCGTCCCACATTATCCAGTCCTTTAGTCTCCTGTTTCGAAGTAGTTTTACTTTCTGGTCAACAAGGATTGAAACACTCAACATATCCTCCATTATGTATTCTGGAGCATCACCTCAACATGACATTGTACTTCAGTCCATTTTCTCAATATTTTTTTTCTGCCAGTTTCTAGAGCAGTGGGTTTTATGTTACTGCACAAGAGTTATCTGGGGACTCATCTTCAGAAATTATGATTTCATAATTCTGTGATAGGGACAGAGAATCTGTTTTAAATAAGATTTCCTGGATGATTCTCATGTAGGGAGAGTCCATGTTTTCCAGTTTGAGAAACACCAGTCTAGAGAGATTTTCCTTTCTACATTCTTCACTTGCGTGGTGAAGCCTGTTCATTCCACCATCTCTGAAACTCACCCTGGCACTTACTGTGTCATAGCCACCATTTTCAGAATCTCTTTCCATAAAGTTACTATTTATAATATATATTTAAAAAAAAAACAGAAGAAGAAAAGTCTCCACTGTTCTTTCTAGGTAATCTTTCTGCAATCTCCTTCCTTTTGCTGCCTGACTACCAGAATGTGTTTCCTTTTTCTACTTATTTGCTACCCTAAATCTGTCATTTTTTGCTACCCATATTGATCATTTATTGGTTCCCTTTTGTTCTTAATCTCTGCTGTACTTTTTTCTGTCCCTCATCCTCCACTTTTGAATCTCTTAAGTGACCAGTAAACACTGCCTTCTAGTGGTTCTTGTTCTTCCTGTTACCCTTGCCCCCTGCCTTTAATACAGTGATTCCCCGGGTGCTCATACTTTCCCCTTTGCCTTGAATTCAGAAGACAGAAACAACTTCCAAAAATTCTGGGTTTAAGGGGCAACAAGACCAGGACTTTTCAACTGCAGGAGACAATTTAGATACGTAGACAAATACAAAAAAGTAGAAAGTATTTGCCCAACATTTAATGATTCAAAAATATTTTAAGACTTAGAATTTTACTAATTTCCTTTGAGAAAAGGTTTTACAAGTTAGGATTCTTGTTTGCTGACCACCTTACTTTTTACCCAAATGGACCATCAAAGCACATGAAACCACTACATAATCTCCAAATTGGTATAGCAGTCATAGATTCAAAGATATTTCCTCTCTTGGTTTTCTTATCTCTGGGTGGCAGACACCCCTTTAATGTGGACCTTTCAGTTTCACAATGACCAAGAAAAAAAAAAAGTCCCTTTTAATTCTTCCTTCAGAGGCCAGAATACATGTTTTTCTGCAATTCAGATATAAGAAATTGAGTAGTAGTAGCCTAGCAATTAGCGTAGTTCAACCTCATCCCCAACCACCCCCCCCCCCCCGCCAAGGTTGACAATTATTTAGTCTTGAAGGATAATGGTAAAGAGACGGGGAACAAAAAATATTGCATAAAACTAAGGAAAAACACTCTTCAAATAGATGAATACTAAGTTGAGATGCGTTTAAGAAAAGAAGAAATTTAAAAATCATTTTTATTAAATGTGAACATGAGGAAAATTAAGATATTTTGGTCATTTGTGCGCTGGAACATTTTTCCTAACAGCATGAACATAGATAAACTAAAACTTCAGTTAATTCTACAAGCATTTATTGTGCCATTCCATTTCCTTGGTTCCTCTTTTAGGTAATTAGATACCTCAATTCAAATCTAAGTAATGTGTCCATTTTACTGAAGGCTGGAAGAAGTATTAAAGAAATTTAAGGTTGTGCTCAAAGATTCAGAAGTAATGTCAGATTGTGCAGCAATTCTCTAATATATGGCATATTTTTCAGCTAAACTGCAGCATTACCTATAATAAAGAGTGATTTACCAACAGGAATCAGCTAATGTACTTGATTCTTTTGACATATAACCAAACGTTCTTTATCTAGAATTGATATTGTGTGTTATAAATTCTGCAATAATATCCTTCAAATAAATATGCTGAAATGATAGAGCCTTCAAATAGAACCTTATCAACTTTTGTTGGTTAACTTTTTCCATAAAATTTTCAATGATATATAACAAATATCAAGGCCACTATTATAACTTATTTTTACTTCTCTTGAACACTCAGTATTATCATTTCAGATAATGTTTATATTTTCATTGAGAATATGGTCGCTGAATTATTTGATTGCAGTGCTATTGTGTATATCTTGGCATTGATTTTGCTGATGATTTGAAGAAAGTAGTTTTCTGTTTTCTCTAACAATTTTCCTATCATTCCACTGGAAACCTATAGATTTTTAAATAGTAGAATCTGATAGTTTCACACAGAATTTTATAGCTTTGAAATTACCTAACACAGTACCTTCATTTTACATATGTGAAAACTAAGTCCAAGTGAGTAAATAACTCACCCAGAGTCATATAGTTAATTAATGGCAGGGCTGAGCTAAAACTCAAGTCTCCTGTCTCTGTCCGGTTAAATGCTTGTTCACTGAGGTCATCCCAGAGCTGTGTCATTTTCCTATGACAGTTTTGCTAGATTACAGAAATCTCACACTAGTTTTCAAGAGTCTGTAATTTCAGTCATATACATTGCATTTGCTCAGTAGTTTTTCTGTTTAGCTTACATTTGTCACAGTGATAAAACTTTTTTAAACAAGGTTAAACAGAGTTTGTATATATTAAATATGCTTTCTATAAGGCATGTGAATTTCCTAGAATCTGCCAGTGTTGCTACCACTTTATGCATAATCTGGCATTAACTCAGACCTCATATGTTTCACTAAAATAGCTAAATAAGCTGCTAGACTAAAAGTTAAAGCAATGATAAAATTCAAGAAAACATGTTTTGTGGTGAGCAAGAAAGGAATATCCTTAATTTTAGGTAAGCAAACAATGTTTAAGAATGAATATGGAAGCTGTAGGAATCTGTCAACATGATATTATATTTTGTCTCCTAACATGACACATTTAAAATTAAGACACAAAAAGCACCAAGAATTTGTTCCAAGGAAAATTTTTCAGCTGATGTAAAGATAAACATAAAACAAATTTGTCTAGTATTCTTTAAAAACAGTGCTCATTTCATGCCATGATATTGCTTTATCATATATATTTGGAGATATATTTCATTCTTAAGAATTAGTTGTATACTTGCAAGCTGACCATAGATCTGAGGCATACAGCAGGGGAGGGGCAGAGAGAAGGGGTAAAAACAGGGGAAGAAAGAGCACAAGGGAGACAGGGAAGATGCATCACAGGTGCTGTGGTGGTGGGAGAAATATGGGAACTACACCTGAAGGAAGAAATCGAATACTACCCAAAAATTCACAACGTTGTAAGAAAAAAAATTAGAATTTAATGTGCACTCTACTCTTACCCTCCTCAAAAAAAAAATAAAATGCACTTAGTTATAGCAAATCATTATACAAATAAATTATCTAAATTTTATGTTCAGCATCTGCTCATTATTGTTGTATACTAAAGTTTCTGTCTGCTTGGTTAGCACTCAAAATATGGATATTAAGAGTGTACTTCAGCTGCAAGTAAATGAACTTATTTCTATTTTAATAATGTTTCTAATTACATTGTGTATATGCCATAGATAGACACAATTGCATGCATATTGTAGTTTTCTGACAATTAGTTATATAATCAATTAATGTCCATACTATTTCATTTTTATGAATGACTACACTCAGTCCAGGGGGGTTGTAACATGTCCATTCTTTTGGTAAAATGACACTTAGGTTTTTAGAAATTTCAAGTGAGTGAAGAAGATTAGAAAAATCATTCTAAATAATTGAATGCTTGCCTATTTTAATAACGAGATTGACATATTTTGTTCTATATCTTACAGGATCCAACAGGAATATTCTCACTGGATAAAACCATCGGCCTTGGTACTTATGGCAGGATCTATTTGGTGAGTGGGATTAGATTATGCATTCATTCATTTTCTAATAACAATAATGATTGCCAGTCAAAACCATACACTATTAAAAAAACAATGCCAAATAACAACATTTCACTTCAAGAAATGTATTCGACATCTGTGAGTATGATTACAAAAGGAGTGGATAAATGTAAGATCTAAAAATTATTAGCAGGTAATAACATCACCAATGGAAAATGGAACTAATTCAGATAAGATCTTCCCAAATAAAAATATTACTTGTTTTATATTATATATCCATACCATAATAATTACTCACATTCTACTTTTAAATTGAATGTTACAGAAAGGTAAGTTTCGTAGCGTCCCTTGTCATACTATTTACATGAATGTGCACATATGTTTAGATTTTTCTAAATCTGACAAGAAACCTGCATTTATGCAATGATTCTTTATTAAACATCAGGTATGTGCCAGGCACTATAAAAGTTTCTGGGGATAAAGTGATGAATGAAACAAAGTCTCTGCTCTTCTAATGCCTAGAAATGTAAATGATGACGTGTGTGTGTGTGTGTGTGTATAGGTGCTTGGGGAGATTACATAAAATAAACACACAAAGATTACATAAATAAGCACACAAATAGCTGTATAATTGCAGTTGTAATATATTCTTTCTAAGAACATCCTTAGTGACAGAAAAGCATAGAAATTTAGATTGCCGTGTCAGTGTTAACCTTCCTGGGGAAGTGATTGTTAAGTGATACCAGGAAGACAAATATGATAAAACCAAGCAAAGGTGTACTTGTGGAGGATGTTGTTAATGCAGAATAGCTAGAGACTGGGAAAGTATTAAAAGTTGGCTTGAAGACGGGGATCCTTTAGTAGTCCTATCACCTTGATAAAGTGCCATTCCTCCAAAATCTATTTTTTAAATTTAATTATTATGCATACAAGAACTGGGGTGTAGGCCAGAGGTGTGGGGGGTGAGAGGATTCTCCAGAAACAGAGTGGGGAGCAGAACTGGCTGATCTACTGAAATACACTGCTGAGGGGAGCAGCAGGCGAGACAGGAGAGGTCTGCTGCGCCATGTGAGTTGCTCCTTGGCCAGCTGGGGATGGAACTCATTCTGCAGTGGCTGGCGATAGCTTGATAGTGCTGTGTCTTTAACTCCTACACCACCAGGGAGGTCCCATTCCTCCACAATCTATAGTGGAACAGACATTTTCTGAGTCTGGTATAGTTCTATACAAATGCAGTGTTTGTCTTCCCCGGGCCAGTTCTGAAGTTGATCCTTACAGTAGAAAGGACACAGGTCATCTGCATATGGATTGTGTAGAGGTTTTATGTGACATATCCAGCAGAAGGGGCTTCTTTCTAGAAGTTTGGACAAGGGGGCCCTCTACTTGCCAAGCCTTGTACCTTGAGGACTGCATTTGCCCAAAAGTGCTTTTTTTAAAATTCATCTACCCAGTTTGGGATGGGAGAGATCTTTTAAATGAGCAGTACAGTTCTTCTGACATAGAACTTGAGTAGAAATAGCATTGTGAAAGGGTACTAAAAGCAGAAAGAATCTTGGTGAGTTTAGGAGACAGAGAGAATGACAATATTATAGACAAAAGTCATTGCTAACCATTCTGACCTCACTTGTAAACAGAACCAATAGGTTATAAATTGTGACATGATAGAATATTGGTTACATTACCTCAGTCTGCATCCCAGACTTAATTACTAGTTGACATTTGTGTGAAGTAAGTGATTTTCGCCTCATGCATAGATACTACACCTTATAGATAGTAGATACTACACCTTTTGTATAGAAGTTCCTCTTCTTTATGACACATTTATAATCTCCATGGCTATTGACATGTTTTAATTCCTGGCTAGGGTGTGTGTATATACTTGTTCAGATTCAATGGTATAGTGCTCTCTCCACTACCAGATCTTAAGAATAAAAACCTCAGTCATATAAGTAAAAAGCGAAGGTAAGTTTATATAACACGAGAAGCTGGTTCCTCATTATCAGTCATCAGAACTGGGATGCTATAAAAAGAAAAAAAGTCAAGAGGGTGAGAAGGTAAGTGTGTTGTACACGATAATTCCAGTTTTTAACCTTGAGTTTTTGAGGTATTTATATTTGGTAAAATCCACCTTCTTAAGTGTACACTCATTAATGTAACTACCACTACAATCAAGACTTTTCCATATGAATCTAAAATGAATCACAATCTCCTTTCAAGTAATATTTTGCCACTTCATTGTGTATTGCCCCAATTTGCTTACTATGGTTACAGTTTTATACATGTTGTCTTTGCATATGACATAATCTATAGTACTACTAGTTTGTTCCCTGTACTCAATAACTGCTACATATTATTTGGGCAATTATCGTATAGTGCAGTTAAAAAGATGAAAATTATATTCATTTGAGTCATTTCTGGAATCTTCACTTCTTTGTGTAGATCCAAGTTTTTATTTGGTTTTATACTCTTTAAGCCTGAAGATCATCCTCAAACATTTCTTATAATGCAGGATTCCTGGTAATGATTCTCAGCCTTTGTATTAAAAAAAAATGTTTACTTCTCCTTCATTGTTTGAAAGATATTGACACTGGATATAGTGTTTTGGGTTGACAATGTTTTTTCTTTCACCACTTTAAATATGCCACTCCATTATCTTCTGGCTTGCAGTTTCTGCAGTGCTGGCATTCCTGACTTTGTTCTTTTACATTTTTTTCTAACTGTCTTTAAGATTTTTTCTTAATATAAATATAAGAAATCTATGGTTTTTGATTTTGGGGTGTTTGTGTATGCTTGATAGGGTAGATACCATCCTTGGGGTTCTTTGACCTTGTGGATATGTGATATATATGACATATATTATTATGTGGGGGTAATTTTTGACCTTTATCTCTGCAAATATTTCTTCTGCATTGCTCTCTTTATAGAAATTCAGTTTCATATGTGTTGGACCATTTGATTCTAACCATAGTTAATGGATGCTCTCTATTGCATGTGTGTATGTTCATTTACTCTTCTCCTTGTTTTGGTTGTATTCTGCCTTCAGATTCTCTCATTCCTTTCTGGGCTGCTTTGAACTTACTGATGAGACTTTCAAAGGCATTATTTTACTGTTTCTCATTTTAGCATTTCTGCTTGACATTTTCCATAACTAACATCTGCTGAAATTTCCCATTTGTCATTCATATTTTACATGTTTCACTAAATCTTCTCAAATATTAGTCATTGTTATGTTAAATTTTCCTTTTCAGAGTTTAAATACCCAAGTCATCTCTGAGACTGGTTGTATTGATTGCTTTGTCTCTTGAGAGTGTGCTTTTTTTGTTTGTTTGCTGTTCTGTTTCTCAAAATTTTTCTTTTAACACCATACATATTATGTAGACAAGTAGAGATTGAAATAAATAGTATTTATGCTTTGAAATGGGCACACTTGTTCTGCTGATTCTCTAAGGTGGGTGGTTGAGACAATCTGATTAAAAGATGAGTTATGTTTGAGTTATGTTGTCACTGTAGTTACCCTCAGTTCACCACCAGATTCAGTTTTTTCTTTTACCTTGTGCTTAACTTGGGGGTTGTGTTGTGGAATGTTTTTTTCTCAATATCCCTGCTCTACCCTCAGCTTTCATCCTTCCCTATGCATTTGTGCCTTAGAGATAGTCTCTCCAGGCTCTTGTGCCCCCCCTAGTGGTAGGTATGTTGCTATTGCTTCTTACTAAGCACCTGTTAGTTTGGTGGTGTGGGGAAGGTAGGAGGGAGTTCTCTCTTTCCTTGATTCCACTTCAGTCTTAAGTATATGTCTTGTGCCTCAAGGTCATGGGAGTGGGGCTTTCTTGGTCACCCTGCTCCTCTGCTAATGCAGAGACACAACTAATGGTGTGTACCCAGGAATAACTTCTACCCCAACTGCAGAAGTCGTGGACTTAATTCTTTAATTTTTCCCCAAGCTGCAGTATGTCTTTATCTCTGCTCTGCACAGAACTGGGTTTTCTGTCCTCCCCCTAGGACTTTAGCCTTTTTGTTCCTTGGGAGGAAAGAAATTGACATGGTTTTATACTTTTCCTACTGTAATGATTTTTCTCCACCAGGTCAGTACCATGATTCTGTGCAAAAAAGGCCTGCAAGTGTGTAAAAATTTCTCTTGTGTCTGGGGCTCCAGGGAATACTGTACTTTCATGTTAAACACATTTGGATTTTAGCAGTTCGAGAACTTAGCTGAATTTTTATATATATATATATATATTTGTTTCTATGGTGAGCCTGTCTTCTGCCAGAGGCCACAGGTGAGCTGGTATTCATGTCCCATCTCTCTTTGCAAGTACTTGTTTTTCTTTAGTCTTAAGGGTGGGAGACGCACTCAATTTAGCTTTTCACATCCCCATCAAGAGCCAGAAATTCTTGTCAATTCCTTTTAACTGAATGAATCTTCATGAAGCATCTATCATATGCTAGGTCTTATACACATTTATTATTCCTAAGAATTTTATATGTTCCTATCCATATCTAGAGATATAGAATACTTCCTATCATCAGATCATCAGAGTGGTAAACTTTGTTATAGAAGGTAGATAATTACAGACATTTTATTTACATTAGACAGGTTTTCCTTTGTCATTCATTGATGTTACCTCTTTTTTTTTTCTACCTCAAGTTAACTTCCTTTGTAAAAGTTTTTGAAGCGGTGGGACTGTGTATCAATATCTCCTTCATAGAAAGCAATTTTGAGTATGTAATGAATGCTTTTGAAATGTTCTTACACCTTATACCAATAATACCACTTTTGGACATCTGTAATAAGTATCCCAAATATGGAAAGATACTTATTTTAGCAAAAATGTAGCATATTGTATTGAAAAGGAGCCCTGATTTGAAACCAGGTAGAATGATTCAATGTTTACTTGGTCATTAATTATCTATGACCTTGAGAAAGTCACTTAACCTTTGAGTATAAATTTCCTTTTTATGAAATGGAGGTAATAATATCTACCTTGAAAGGTACATATCTCTTGAAGGTA